GAGTACAGGGATCACAAAAACAGAGACAGCGACGATGATGGAGACAACGCCGACGATGGAGATGAAGATCACGATGGGCGGGTTCCACCGCACAAGTACCTGGCACAGAGGAGAGGACCGTCGTTTTCGGTTCATGAAGGGATAGGATGGACTCTCAAGGGCAGAGAAAAACCCAGATCGGACGGACTCTCAAGGGCAGAGAAAAACCCAGATCGGACGGACTCTAAGGGCAAAGAAGAACCCAGATCTGGGTTTGAGAGAGGAAGAAGAAGAGAGAAGAGAGAAAGACAAAGAATAAGAAGAAGAAAGAAGAAGGATGAGCAAGGAAAGGTAGGAGGAAAGGAGGAAGAAGATGAAGTTTGAGAGTGAACCCAGATCTGGGTTTGCAGAGGTAAGGGAAAAAGAAAAGTAAAGGAGAAAGAAAGTGAAAGAGGAAGAAGAGATGATGTGGATGGAAAAAAAGATATTAAAAATTTTAAATTAAATAAAAATGCCAACTAGGCTGGTCAACTAAACTTTTTTTTCCATGTCATTAATTAAACAAAAAAATAATTGATTTGCTGGCAAATTAACGTGCCACCTGTCATTTAACTGACGGAAGGACCATTTTGGTACCGGAAATGAAAGTTTAAGGATAAATTTGGTACTTTTTAAAGGTGAGGGACAATTTTGGTACTAAAATGAAGAGTTGAGGGACCAAAATGGTACTTAAACCTTCATTTTTTGCTTAACTAATGACATGAAAAAAAAAAGTATAGTTGGCATTTTTTTTTTATGAGTTGACATTTTCATTTAATTTAAAAATAATAATTCTTTTTTTTTTCACCCACGTCAAAATTTTTTTCTCTCTTTCATTTTCTCTCTCCTTTATCTTTCCTTTTCTCTTGCCTTTGCAAACCCAGGCTCTGGGTTTTCTCAAACCACCGAGAAAGTGATGACCATCGCCGTCGATGACAGCGAGCACAGCGCCTACGCGCTGGAGTGGACGCTCGATACCTCTGCAAACCCAGGCTTTCGATTTTCCCAAACGGCGGAGAAGCAAGTGATGATCATCTCCGTCAATGATGGCGAGCACAGTCCGGGTGTGAGTGTGGAATGGACGCTCGATCACTTCTTTGTTCCTTTAGGTGATAGTGCCTTGTTCAATCTCGTCATCATTCACACCAAACCTTTTGCTACTATTATTTTCAGCCTTCTTCTTTTTCTCTCAAACCCAGATCTGGGTTTTTCCCAAACCCAAATCTGGGTTTTTCCTTTACCCAGATTGGCCCGAGAAGATGATAGGCTCGAGAAGATGACCTGATGATAGGTCATCAAGTCCA